AGAAGGGGAAGTTTTCAGCAGAGAAAGGCTTCTAACCAGGGTTTGTTCGGGAACAGGTGCAGATGCCCAGCAAAGGCTATTGTCTTCAACTTCTGAATAGGCTTGTTGGACTAGACCAGCAAGGCAGACGGTGCAGGGTTCAGTTGGATGCTAAGTAGGAAAGAGAAAGAATAATAAGGAAGCCATGAAGGAATACTGGAATGTATGAGGAACACCTGGCATGTGTGTGTATTTTGCACTGCCTCAAAGCTTAGATGTAAGTGGCCCTGCAGCAGGGACCACCCCACTTGCTGCAAAGCAGGATGTGTGTCCAACTCAGATGCTAAGTGTCAGCCACAGGCAAACCAGCAGGGGCAGAGAAGCTGCTGTACCCTGAACCAGTGATGAGCAGCATCGGGCGTGGCCCTCCCAGAATCCTTTCCCACCATCCCAGCTCAGGGGCTGCTGCTCTACTTCTGTCCTGTCAATCTCACAGAAATTTCTCTGTGGCCAACCCTACTGCCAAAACCATTCAGAGAAGTGTGGCTGCAGGTTAATTAAATTGACATAGTATAAAAGACTTACACAGAGATGTAACAGAGGTATAGAAAGGGAAAAAAAAACCTTATAAAATCATGAAATTCAATCCTTCAATTATGAAGATGCAAAAACCAGGGCACAGGGTGACAAGGCTTTGTCCTGTGCCACCAAGCTAGTGGCAATACTAGGAACTCAATCCCAGGAGTGTCCATCAAAGTGCAGTCACAGAAAGAATTCTAGAGGAGATATCAAGAGACCTGAGTTTCTGTCACTATTTTTCTGGCCTTGGGAAGAAGAAAAAAATCACTCAGTGTCTGAATTTCTGTTTTCTAATGAATGAAGAGCATATGAGCTAAGCCTAATTGAAGGTGCTCCTGTACCATCTGATGGAGCTAGTTAGCCTCCTTGGAATTACTGTTTCACTGAATGATTCTACTTGTAAAAACAAAATGAATACATGCTCCTGGGTGACCTCTTAGAAAGACCTGGAGTTACTTCTCCCAGGGGACTTTGGATGTCACATATCAGCTTTTGTTTCCCATTGTCACAAACCCCTCAGATTCCAGAAGAAGAAATATAGTTCCCAGTTCTCAAGGAGATACTGTCATCACAACATTGCAAGAATAGCCATGGGGCAGAGAGCTCACTGCATACCATACTGGAAAAATCTGTCATGAACAATGATCAAATGCATGACGAGTTGATCGATAACAGCTGGCCAGCCAAATGAGATTTTGTCCAACTACACCCAGCAAATATGTATGCGTATATTTGCATAATTCTTTACACTTTTGCATACATTTTAAGTACTTAGTCAATGAGGTTAATTCTTGGATAGCCTTTTCTTTGAAGATATTTTCAGTGTTATGCCTAAGGGTGAGGGCAGGGAACTGGGCCACTCAATTATTTTAAAATAAAAGTGCTTCAACCTAATCATTCATTTTCTTTCTGGGAAAATATATCAGGCTGCTGAAACTTGGACCCAAACTATTTCCATGGTAACGGAGCCTGTGAGCTAAAAGATGAAGTATAATTCTGTGCAGTATTTGAAAATTTTTGCTGTAAGTCTGTATGTGTTTTAAAAGTGCACTTAAGAAGCCCTGTATAAGGGCTTGATTGGCTAATCCTCTGCCTTGTAAGCATCGGGATCGCACATGGGTGCCAGTTCATGTCCTGGCTGCTCTACTTCCCATCCATTGCTCTGCTTGTGGTCTGGGAAAGCAGAAGAGGATGGCCCAAAGCCTTGGGACCCTGCATCCACGTGGAAGACCTGGAAGAAGCTCCTGGCTCTTGGCTTCAGATGAGCTCATCTTAGGCCATTGCAGCCACTTGGGGAGTGCTCCAACAGATGAAAGGTCTATCTTTTCAATAAAAATGAATAAATCTTAAGAGTGCACTTGGCAGCACTAAATGGTATTATCAGTAGGTCTCCCAAACCTAAATTCATACACACCCATGCACTTATTTACACCTATATGCTATACCCACGTGTGCTTAAAAATCTGATAATATTTATCAGATAATCATCTCATTTCTAAAAATGATCTGCTTTACTTAATTGAAAGAAGAGTTCCAGAGAAAGAGAAATCTTCCATTCTCTGGTTGACTCCCCAAATGATCACAAGGACCAATAATAGACCAAACAAGCCCAAACTCTTATCTGGGTTTTCCATGTGGGTGTCAGAGACCCAAGAATTTGGATCATCCTTCATTGCTTTTCCAGACACTTTAGCAGGGAGCTAGATGGGAAGAAGAGCAGGTAGACCTCAAACAAGTACCCCACAAGGAATGCCAGCCTTGACATGCTGTGCCAAAATACTGTCCCCTGAAATAATTATCTTAAATACCAAGGGACAATAGGTAGCAATGTTCAGTTCCCTCTTATTAAAGCTGCATTAAATCAAAAATTCTTGCATTCAGTCTTGGTTGTAGAGAGGTAACTTTAAAAGTAATCCATGTGAAGTCTAGAGAAGAAAAAAAAGTCAGTAATAGGTACAGAAGTGAGACTATCTGTCATCTGAAAACTGGAGGTTGTTCCCTGCAAGTCTAGAGTAGAGTGTGCCTAAGGGAAGATAGTAAAGCTGAATAGAATCTTGTTACATATTTTAATTGTGAAGTATTTCCAATACATGGAAAATAATGCATCTATGTCATATTCTATATTACATATTGATCATATAATATATTGATCATATTATATATGCTTTTTTATTATGTGTTGATTATATTATGTATTGATTATTTTTGTTAAGTTTGAGGAGATTGAGAATGAGGCGGGGGTGGCTTTTAGTTCAGGCAAAGGGTTTTATTTATCAGAGGAAAGAGTGTGATGGACCACATGGTGAGATGACCTATGAGGGAAACAGCCACTCAGAGTAATAGCTTTTACATATATTAGGGGCCTGGGATGGGAGATTGCAGCAGCTCCTGAGTCTGCACATGCCTGTGTATTCATCATGTTGGGTGTCGACCTTCTATGCAGAGACATGGTCAGCGTGTTTCAGCATTGCAAACATTTCTGGATGGGAGTTTCTGCTTGACTTCAGCAGGATGATGGAGTCACTTCTGCTCTGCCAAACCTAACTGTATCTTTCTCAGATACTTTCAAAATGAGAAAACATTAAGCTTTCAAACTCTCACCTTCCTTTTCCTTTATCTTCCCTGTATTCCCAGAAATTTTCATCCCATTGTATGTGAGCTTGAGCTGACAATGATTCATGGAGCAGGAGATGTGGATGACAGGTGTTTGGGAATCTCCTGAATGGGCAGGAGGAAGAAGCCTTTCATTTGAAGGGTGTAGAAGTGACGAAACTATTTGGTCAGTTAAAGTGGAATGGAGAATAATATCTACTTGGATTCTCCTCCTGGGAAGTCCTTAGTGAGAGATTAGTTTCCAAGTTCTACTGGCCAACTTTAGGTTTCATTTTTTTATCATCTTCATTAACATTTTTTGGTACACAAGTCCAGGACTAGAAAGCCACCTCAGCCTAGTGATCTCTCAATTGATTATTGCTTCAATACCTAAGAATAGATTCCCAGACTGTTGGGACTCAGGGTTGAAGAACTTGTACAAGTGATAGAATATATGGCCTTTTGAGAATGGGCATTATGATTTCAAGCAGCAGCAGGGCATATTAGTCCCTGGGAGGCATGGAGTTGCATATTCACTATTGTGCAAAGTTAACTGTCTAAATTTATAGTTGGCCTGGGGAATGATTTGGTGGTAATCGTGTTCACATTTGGAGAAAATGCTAATAATAGGCACTGCACACAAAGCTGAATAGAAGGGTTGTTATATACTCTAACTCCCCAGTGGCTTTTAGAAGGACTGCATGGTCTTTCCTGAGTGCAGCATGGAAGTGAACTGGTAACCCAGAAGATGGCACACCCTAGATGAGGTCAACACTGAAGCAAATTTAAGGGAACCAAATCTCTGCTCTTGCATCAGGAAACCCTGGTTATCCCTACAACCTAACCACCACTCTCTGTGCATAGAGATCCCTATTACTGGGAACTATCCTACCTGGCTAGCAAAATCTGTATGTCACAGCATGATTGGGCTGAGGGACTAGATGGGTGAAATCCACTTGCTTTTCTGTCCTATTTGTCTGGCTGTGTGCATGCCCAACTTCCATTTCTCTATAGCAAGGAGAAATGGCTCATGTGATGCTCTATTCAGTTGACTAGTTCAAGTTACTTTTTTATACTGCTAAAATAAAGGTATTAAGAAGTATCTATTTTCAGCACACAAAATTGTGTTTTTGGTTTAGCGTCAGATATATGTGACCAACAATGCATATCCCATTCCTCATGCTGTTTACATTGCTCTGTGAATGTTTCAAAGGACCTTTTAGATGCAGAAACTCTCTCAAAATGGAAAAAAAGGAACCATACACAGATTGTATTTTTGAGATGGAATTTGCTCGTTCAATAATATCTACCAAATCAAATGTCATATTGACCTTTTGTCACCAGCAACTAATTGTATTTTATTTCTCTTGCATTTCAAGTATGTTAAGCCTAGAGCAAGTGACTTTGTGCAAAGTAAGCTGCAAAGATGCTTTTTAGGCTGTGTTCAGATTATAACTGGTCTGATAAATATATTTGTCTAACAAGGGTTGGACAAAGCTGTTTATTTGCTGACATATTTTATCGCCATTCTCCTGTATACCTCTCATATAGCTTTTTTAATGGTATGAAAATCTAGATATCCTGTTGGAATCTCAAATCTTATTTATAGCTTACTGCAAAGTGGCCTATTTTCATTTATTTCTGATTTGATTTCTGTAACCCAAGAACCCATCTCTCTCTCTCTCTCACACACACACATACACACACACACACACACATCTGAATATCACTTAAGGTATAGTTATCACTGCAGCACTGAAAATCTGTATAAGAGTTTCCATTCTAAAACAATGTCTTGGAAGGAATTACAGTATTTCCATTCACTATGAGTGTTTGTTGTTTGCCTTTAGGTGGATCGGGTCATCTTCTGTGTCTTCTTAGAAGTTGACTTTAAAATCTACAAAAAGAAAATGGCTGAGTTTTTCCCTCTAGGTGAGTAATGTCATTTGTTTTTCTTTGTAATTGGGGTCTGGAGAAATGGAATCGTGTCTGTATTTCAATTTAGTTTCACACTTTAGAATTGTTCAAAATGTGAATTCCCACCCAATCATCACCATTGTGGAGGTGTATCTTAGTCTCTTAGAACTGAACTAGGTGACAACAAATCTGGATCTGTAGATGTCCCTGCTCCATGAGGGGATTATTTTTCTCTGGGAAGCCAGTTCATCTCCTTGAGTGAAGCCGTCTCACATTGTATTGACCCAAATGTCTTCTAGAGAAACTTTCTCTGGCCCTCATTTGCATGATCTTTGTCTCCTTTCAGATCCTCAGGCCCCACATTAATCACGATAAACACCTTTGTTGGAAATTACAAGGAACCTATCTGGTTTTGTGGTCAGAATTCAAACTGTTTTTGCATCCCAGCCCCATCTCCCACCCCTAAGTGTTATTTTCCCCAATTGCAATGATTATGACTGCACTTTCTGGACAATCTAAGAATGGTAGTCATTTGTCTTATTGCACATTTCCTTTTAGAAAGTAGAAGGTGCCACATGGGTTACTACAGAGCCTGGAACAATAGGTTTACAGGGATTGAACATACCATTAGTTAGATATGGGCAATTTGAATATTTACCCTCACTCTCCTTCTTCCAGTCTATTAAGATCGAGGCTTGTTTAATGCCTTGTTATTTTTATAGTGCCATTAAAGTCACAGTGCCTCGGCCATGGTGAGAATTACTTCCAGGAAATCTCAAGCTACTCTGAGCATCATTGGTCTTGGCCTCACAGAGAGCTTTCCTTTGAGAGCTCCAGATCAGTGTGGAGTTGCTTTCTGTGTAATGGACAACTCTGGCAGGTGGGAAGCAATGAAGAAAGGGTGTGTGAGAGCCAAGCATTGATGCACACACCCTTTCCACAGATGAGGGAAGGGCACAGGTAGCTGTGGAGAATGGCAGCAGAAAACCAACGGTGGTGTTTATAGCTCCAAGTGCCCCATGTCCTTCTGTGTAACTTGTAACCCATCTGCCTAACTTAGAATTGACAGGTGACTCGCTATATGTATATGATTTGAGGACTGAAAGCATTTCCCTAACTGAAACACAACGTTAATTTTTCAGGGACTCCCATATGACAGAATTGTAGTTACAATCCTCCATCCTTTACTTCTTCCCTCTCTTCCTTCTCCTCGTCTCACTTTTCTTCATGTTTTCAGCATATTCATGTTCTACAGAGAGTAAAGCACATGATGATTCTTTATAAGTAAATAGTTGGTGACAAGAGTTAATCTAATAAACTCTTCTTGACATGATATGGTGGCTTTTTGTCTCCTTCAATCTCTCCCATCTTTTCTCCTGATGACCTTTAGAATTAGAGTGAGCCTGCATTCTGAAACATTCTTACAAGAAAATGCTCATTAGGTAAAAGCTGTGACATTTTACATTGTGTGCTGCAAATTGTCTTATGCCTTATCAATAACACAGTAGAGTTTGAGATTTTATAAATTTGATATTCCTTGATGTTAGCATGTTTTAGGCCACTGAGGCCTCAACCCTCAATCCCAGTGGGACTGGGCTCAGGTGGGTGCTCTCAAGGCTAGGGCAATGTTCACTGCTCTGGAACACCCCTCCCCTTGGTCATTCCAAAGGGCTAAGACAAGGACTGTAAACTTTACCAAGGAGCCTTTCTGTATCTTGTCCACCTGAGTTCCCAGGGAGTACTTTGCACCTCCACCGGCAAGCAGCTAAACAAGGAAGGAACTCTGCCTGCTCCAGAAACAAAATGAAACCTAGCTTTAAACCCTCAACCTTGTTTCCCAGCAGGCTGAACCCCCACTCTATTTACCCCCTTACCTGCCACCCCTGAAATAGAGACTTTTCTACTCTAACTGGTTGTTCCCTTGCCTTCTCCAAATCTAAGAAATTCTAAAACATAACACTTGCAATATTTGGAAATAATGATACCATAACCCTTTTTGGTATCTTCTAAAAGGAAAACTTGTTTTTGAACAGACAAGAAAAATAATTGCGAAATTATGAACCATTGATACAAATCTGTCCATTCATAGGTACAGAGCAAAAAATCATCCTGCAAATTTAGAAAAATGAGACAGTTTTAGGGACATAGAATATATTGATAACCATGCAAGTAAATTATGGTTTGAAAAATTGCTACTTTAAATGAATTCAAAGCTACATCTCAGTACTCAAGTGAAATAATAATAAAATCAGCCTCAGCTTTGTCTCAGGGCTTTGAAACATGATGTGGTCATGCAGTTATTTCCAGTGCATATCTGTAATGGTAAAGACATTTTAGATGTACTTTAGATGCCAAAAATCCCCAAAAGTTGTGGAGTATATCTTCAGCATTGCAGGATCATCCATTTGCAAATGTTAAGTATCCAATATAAAATAGAAATGATCCTAATGGAATGTGTGACTGCTAATATAGATGATATATATTATATTCCCTTAGTTTGAATTTATGATTAATTCATAACCATATTATATTTGATTAGAATATAATTTTTCTGATTTGCCCTGTATTTCCTGAGTCTGATTTATTTAGAATGTCTTTAACTAAGGTTCATGTTTCTTACCAATGCAGTAATGATGATAGTTTGGGGGAAAAAATCAATTTGACTTTAAACCAAATATTTTTGTTTTGGGGTACTTTCATCCAATGTTGATAAATTTATTTATTAGAAATTTAAGGAAATGTAAACAATAGAAGTTAGACTAGAAAAGAACACAGTGAAAGTAAGATACGTGTGAAAGTACTACCTAATATTGATGATGGAACAGCTAACATTTAAGGATGTGTTCTATCAGTCAGGATAGAATAAGGATGCCCCATTATTTCCTTTAAATGGGCTGTACTAGTTAGTCTTCATGGTAATCCTGAGGAAATAGGCATTATATTTACTCCATATTGTGACTGCTATTTTCAAGATTTCTTTCTATTCTGGTGTTGAAGTCTTTCTCTCAAGAATGGTCTTAGCCCAAGATAATCACTCCCTTAGCCACAATTCAGGCAGTTTGAGTGCCTGTATCAGGGGAGACATAATGAAGAAATAAAACCAAAATAAACGAACCAGAATAAATTCTTGCCTTAAAGGTCTCAGAAAGGTTACAGGTGCTGTCAGGAGACCCAAAGGAAATCTGGAGCCAGTAGAGTGGGTCAGGACAGGCAGACAAGGTGGAGGTGATGAGGTAATATGCATGTTCGCTTCCTGTATGTTAGACCCTATGCGCTCCTTCAGGGCAATAGATCAGTTACTCTAAGAAAGAATGCCCATAGGCAATTGGTGACGGCCTAGAAGTTGGGATGCCAGTTAGGATGCCAATTAGGATACCCAATCCTAGTGCAAGTCCCACCTCTAGCCTAGATTTCTATCTCCATCTAATCTAATGTTTCTGATTATCGCAAATGAAAAAATAAAAAGGAAATGTATTTATGATTTAGGTTGACTGTTTGATTTTATCATAACCTATGAGATGTGCTGATTTAGGGGCCAGTAGGATAAGGAGAAAGTCATCTTTTTCATAAACAACAAAACAAAGAGAGCTTTTTTAAAAATTTTTATTTTGAATATCAGATACATAAAGAGATCTTCCATCCACTGCTTCACCCCAAAGTGTCACAATGGCAGAAATCAACAGAGGCCAAGTCAGGACCCAGGAACTACATCCAGGTCTCCCACAGAGTGGCAGGGTTCCAAAATCTTGAGCTACCTTCTGTTTCATTTCCAGGCATATTAGCAGAGAGCTTGACAGGAAGAGAAACAACCAAGACTTGAAACAGTGCTCAATATGGGATGCCTGGGTCACAGATATAAGCATAATAAATCGTGCCACAAAGCCACTTTTTTTTTGTAGATTGATTCATTTGACCTGAAAATCAGCATGACAGTGAACAGGAAGGAGGCAGACAAGCAGACTTAGGGAAGACAGTGTCTATCTGCTGGTTCATTCCCCAAATGGTTGAAACGGCCTGAGCAGAAGCCAAAACCCAGTGGCTCCATTCAGGTGGCCATCATCCACTGACTCCCAGGCAAATGAGCAGGAAGCCGGATCAGAAGCACAGCGTAGGCGGGACTTGAAACCTCAAGGTGTCGCTCCTGACACACACATTCAGAGTGGCACACAAACATGAGATGCAGGCATCTCCGATGGTGGATTGAGTCCCTGTGCCACAGCACCCACCTCAGAAGTGAGCTGCCTGTTTACCAACCAACAGTGGCTGAGTACCACCGGTGTTTCAAATAACTTATGCAAGATTGAAAATAAGGCATGTTGAGGAAAACAATGATACACAGCTAGGAAGCCACAGAGCTCTTATTGATACAGAGAAAAGTGTCTTTGCCCAGGACATGATAGGTGAGTCATCCCAGAACACTTTCTGAGAAATCCAAGGTGATCTTCCAGGCTGCACATCCAATTTTATCTGCTGCTCATTATTTTTCAAAACTGCCTGGTCCCACTTTCTTCTAGTACTTGTTAATGTCCTCAGGGAAGTTTTCTTACTTGAGTCAGTTAGATCTTTCATCATGAATCTCAGAATTCAGTGTTATCCAAATCATCCAGGGAATGTGGTTCTAGACATGCAAATAAGTGGTAATGGGGAAGCCTTGTAGAGCTTTCTGCAGGATCTCTTACACAGCAACTACAGAAAAAGAGTGAAAATTGCCTGTGTTGGTTTACTGAATCTGAAGAAAACAAAACAAATATCACAAAGTTGTTGGCTTAAAACACAGAAACATCTTTTTTTCCTTCGTAATGTTCAGGGCTAGGAGCCCAAAATTTCTTCTGAGGCCTCTCTCCTTGGCTTGTTGGTGACCCATCTCCTTCATCATGTAGTTTCACCATATTGTCCTTCTTTTTTCTTTTTATGTATTTTTTTCTTGGAAAGGCAAAGAAACTGAGAGTGAAAGAAAACATCTCTACTGGTTCTCTCCCCAAATGGTTGCAGCAGCCAGGGCTGGACCATTTGAA